TAGAATGCTTTATGAGAAATAATTAAAAGTTTAGTAGTGAAGGCCAAAGGCCGTTTTGGCAGTATTAAACTGCGAGTACGAAAGTTATAGACTTGAAACTTTCAGAGTATATGTAAAATTAGGAGCTAAGCAAGTTTACTTAAGACACCAAAGTTGGTTATCTTAATAAACTAACCAGGTATTGACGATTTTAGTACTGACGGATTTTTAGATATCTTTGTGTAAAAAGGATTTACAGAAAGAGTTTTTTTTTTTTCATGGTTTGATAAGTATATTGTAATTAGTTAACAATGTGAAAAAAAAGTATAAAATTTACTAACTAAAATTAATATATAGAAATATTATGCTATTAATATTATAATCAATAATATCATTATACTTTTTTAAGACTAGTTTGGAGGATTAACTATTATTATTAAAATTTAAAAAGTTCTATATATAGAAGGGGCTTTAAATAAAAGCTCTTATTTGATATATCTGTTATCTAACTATTTATAATGTTAACTTAATTTAGATAACTAAAATTTTTTAAAAAAGATACTTGCTAATTTTTATTAATAACAATAATATAGGTTCAGAATGTTATCAAAAAAGTAAAATAAGTAAAATTTATAGTCATATGTATAAGAAAAATTAATATAACTAAAAAAAGATAGAGGTTTAGTGAGAATGTTTCAAATTCACAAAAAGAGGGGTTAAAAAAAAATTAGTAATTAGAAAATAAGATGGAAAGAAAAAAAGAAAAAATTGAATGAAAATACTTCTCATTGCTAAGCTAAAGCATAAAGACAATGAATTTTCTTATATTCTAGATATAAAATAGATTAGTTAAAAAAGTTAGAAAGTTTTTTGTAAAATTATAAAGAAGCACACAAATCCAATTTATAAAAACATAACTTCAAGTTAGCAATAACTTGATTAAAGTCTTTTTTATTTATCCTAAATTATCTCAATTTTTTTTGTATTTTTCTTCATAAAATCATGCAAATTATATACTCTAATTCAAGTTGTTTTGTTTTTTTTTATTTGATCTTTTTTAAGGTTAAGCAAAGCAATGTTTTTAAATTTTTACTATAATAAAATAATTGTTAAATCTTATTAAAATTTTTTTTTATTTTTAATAGAATGTCTCATGGCCATCCATCTTCTAATATTTGTATTGATCATTTTTACCCTATAGAAGAGGAAAATACAAATGTTAATAAATATTCTACTTCTCATCAAATATGCAAATATTGTAATAAGGATGTTGTAGACTTAATTGATTGCTTAAAAGATCATTTGAATAAATGTAGTTTTTTTTCTTATAAACTTCAGGAATCAACAGACTTAGCTACTAGTAAAAGTTGCCAAAGCAGTACACCTATACAATCTAATCATACTGTAACAGATAATAATGTTCAATTAAGACAAATATGCTTTCAACTTATAACTAATTTTTTAGATAACATAAGTCAAAATAACAAAGTTATTTTGGATCAAAAGCTTTCTTAATTATTTTACTCAGCTGATATTCCTTTCTCTGCAATTGAAAATCCATATTGGATTGATTTTATATATACAATTCACCCTTTTTACAATTTACCAAATCATTAGCAATTGGCAAATAAACTTTTAGATAATGCTTATTCTCAAGAATGTAAATATTTAGAAAATAAACTTGAAAATATTAATAATATTTCACTTGTATCTGATGGATGGTAAATTTTAATTTAATTATTATTATTAATTATTAATATATTTTAAAAATTTAAGGTAAATCACAATTAAAGAATATAAAAAATAGCAAAATTTATTGAAATGCTGCTAGCTTATATTGAATAATATTTATTATTTGTTTTATTTAATAAGTTTCTTAAACTTCTAACAAAAGTTAAAATATTAGTATTTTATTACTTATTATAAAATGGTTAGCATTTTAACTTTCTAATTCTTACTATAAAATTTATACTTTTCAATAATAAATTATCTGAATATGCCTTATTTTACAAACACTTATTACATAGGCACAATATTTTACCAACAATCATTTCACAAATATGTTTGTTTTACAAACAACTAATTCCTAGACAAGCTTATTTTAAAGACAAGTTTATTTTATAAATAACTTATTTTATATAAAGCTTATTTCACTGACAAGTTAATTCTTATAATTTCTTTAACCCTAACCTAACTCTAACTCTAATTCTAATAATAATAAATTTGGTGAAATAAGCTGTTAGTAAAATAAGTTGTTTACAAGATAAGCTTTTCTAGAAATTAGTTGTGGTGAAACAAACATGTCAGTGAATTAATTGTTAGTAAAATGTTATGTCTACAAAATGAGTGTTAGTAAAATTATCTAAACTAAATTATCTTATATTATTATACAACATGTCTAATTAGTTAAATTATTATTTAAGGTCAAATATTCATTGTGAATCTGTTTTAAACTTTATTATCTGCCTTCCTGAACTAATTTTTTATAATGCATATTATACTAGATCAGAATTACATACAACAAATTTTATTTATAATAAGCTTAAATCTGTTATTAAAGAGGTTGGATCATCAAAATTTATAGCAGTTATTACTGATAATGCAAATACAATGCATGCAGCATGGAAATTGCTTAATAGAGATTATCCAAATCTTATTTGCATGAAATATAATTAACATGTAGGCAATCTTTTAATCAAAGATATTTTTAAGCTAAATTGGGTAAAACAGTCAATGAATGATACAAAAGAAATTGTTACCTTCTTTAGAAGCCATTATCTAGCAGAAGCTATTTTGCAACAAAAATCTAATACAATTATGCTTGTTAAACTAGTAGATGTTTGTTGGAGAACTTATCTTGATTTAGTTTAGTCTGTTATTTACTGTAAAATAGCAATTCAAACATCTGTTTTACAACCAACAATTTCTAATATTATAAATTATAATTTGAAAATAAGATTTTAGGAAAAAAATTATGAAATAAGTTAGAATGTTTAAAATTGTTATTAACACTATTTATATGTTTTATTAAATTATTTAAGTCAGATACTCCATTATTATCACATGTTTATGCAAAATGGAATAATCTTTATTCAGCAATTGATGAACTTAACTTAAACTTACAACATGAAGAAGATATTTCTAATTTAATTACTACAAGATTTGAATTTATTTTTTATCCAGCTTTAGTATTTGCTAATTTGTTAAATTCAAAGTAAGTATAATATAAGTATTAGTAAAAAAAAATAAGAGTTCTTTAATTTTATATTTTTGAATAATTTGATTTCATAATAATATATTTAATTTGACTTATTCAATTATTTAATTTGTTAGTTAAAATTATATTATATTAGTATTATACTAACTATGCATTTAGAAATTACTACATAGTATTACAAGTTACAAACTATATAGTATAATTTTTATATGCATAATTAATATAATATCAATATAAATTTTTATTATATTTAAATAATTATATAAGTTTATATATAATTGTAATTATGATAATCTCTTATATATAATCATAATTATGATAAAGCTCTTATATACAATTGTTTAGAGATTAATTAAACTATTACTCTTTAAGAATAAATATCTAAATTTAAAATTTTTTTCTTTTGCTAATATTAATATTAAAGTATATTTATTTCTAAAGATAAACAATATTATAATTTATTTTTTTAATAATTTATTTTTTAATATCTTTATTATTAATTTAATTTAAAGTTAGTATATAAAGTGTTAAAAAAATATTAAAATTAATATTTAATTTATTTTCTAATAGTTCTCATGAAAAAGCCTTAAAACTAGATGATTTAATAAATATTGTTGTTTCATATTTAAATAAAAATTATTCATCCACTACTATTGCACATGTAAGTTATATAAAAATATTAATTTATTAAATTTGAAATATATTTAATCTTTAATTTTTAATTAGTTATATGGAACAATTCAAAAATATATTACAAAATTTGATGAATTTTTAAATTCTTTACTTTGAGAATTGATTAAATATTCTAATTCTATTAGTTGGTGAAAATCAAATTTTGTGTATAAATATTCTTTGCTTGTAAAATTGGCAGTTAAATTATTATCAATACCAACTTTATCAGCTTCAGTTGAATGTAATTAGTTACTGTTTAGATTTATTCATAGCAAATTGCATGCTAGATTAGGTAATAATAAAGTTAAATAATTAGTTGCTGTATCTCAAAATCTAAGAATTCAAAAAAATATTGTAGAAGATAGTTGGTTTGATGAATTATAATAAAAAATTTTATTTTAATATTAAAGTTTGTTATATTAGAAAATTATTATATTTTTTAATAATATATTTTTAATAAAAAACATATAAAATGTTTTAAAACACAAAAAAATAAAAAACATGTTTTTTGTCATCCTTAGGTTGAATCTACTTATAACAACATGCTTATAGTAAACCCTTATATAAATATACTGGCATTAACTGCTGTATTTTTAACTACAAAGCCATATCTACAAAGGACTAGAAATTCTTTTAAGATACTTTATTTCAACAACTCCTATTACACAAAACTCCTACTAATAATAAAACTTATAAGAGTATTAAAACCACTTGGCACAAAATTCAATGCTCTATTATTTATACTGCTACCTATACTATTTCTAACAAAGTCTCTTACAAACACAGCTACAATCACCAATACTCATCTTACAATATTCTATTACACCTATCTTTTAAAAAACTTGGTATATTATTAAACTTGTTAAAAAACTTACTTAACATTCTAATACTTTTTACATTAATCAAAACATCTTTCAAATTAACAAACAGTTACAATGTGACCTTTAATTACTTACCTCTACTGACTTAACCTTAATATAAACTTAACTCCAACATGCTTACTCAATCTGAAAACATTTCTTTCTTGCTTGCTATCTTGAATACTCTCTTTTACTTCAACAACAAATCAACCAAGCTACTGACAAAAGATATATTAACCTTACAACACATTCTAATCAGGCTATCAATAGCATTTTTAATCATTATCACCAACTTGTCCACTTTACTAATATAAAACTTCTTCAAAAACTTATTACTAACCTACTAATCATTAAACAACATGTTTGATCTCATTTTCAAGACTGGACTATACACAAACCTATCAATCAAATGTTTTTTAATTATTTCTAATGACATTATTACCTCTTACTTTCTTACATTAATTCAACTTAGTATCATTCTTTCAATTCTTCTATTACAATGATGAATTTCTAAGAACTCTTTCTCAACTACCTAATAACAAAGCCTGTGGTTCTATAGGCATTAGTTATGAAATGCTTAAATATATTAGTCCTCAATACACTTCTGCTATTATTGTTCTCTTTAACTACTACCTTCTTGAAAACAGAATTTCTAAGCAATGAAAACATAGTTACATTTATCCTATCCCTAAATGAAATATCTTTGATAATAACCTTAACTTTACTTGACCTATTAGGCTTGTTGAATATAGCTACAAGCTTTATACTAAAATTTTTACTAATCAACTTAGCTCTGTATTTTCAACTCATCCTATTCTCTCATCTTTTAATTATATTGTCTTTTCCAACAACAGCACCTCAATTTCTATCTATATTATTAATAATCTTATTGAAGATGCTTCTTGCAATCATAAGAACATTTGGTTACTTTCACAAGATATAAGTAAAGTCTATGACTCTGTCAACTTTATTCTCTTTAAACATGCACTCTCTTGTCTCTTACTTTCTTCATCTACTATCAACATTCTTTCTAATCTCTTATCGATTGGCACAATCAAGTTATAACTAATCTGGTTTAACTTTATCCTATCTAGTTCACAATGGAATTTATCAAAATAAAACTATTACTTTTTTGTTATAGTGTATTTACTATAATCCACTTATCTTCTATATATACTCAAATACTTTTGTTTACAAATTACAATCCTCTTAAACTACTAATCTCAAACTTCAAACATCTAACTCATTACAAAAAAATCAATACTCTGTCTTGGCTTATATAAATGATACTCTTTGGATTGCTTCATCACAATCTAAACTATTATATATATTATCTATAACTAAATCCTTTTATGCTATGATCAATATTCAATTCAACTCTTCAAAATCCATTTTGGTTACCAACAATTCTCTATTTTATTATATACCTATCTCTTATAATAACTATCTTCTTCTTTTTCATTCTTATAAAATACCTTTTAAATTTTTAGGTTGTTGGTTTAGTTTAGATAACAAACAATCTAAACAAACAAAACTACTTATCTCTGAATCTTCTCAATTAATCCAAATTGCTAAAACAAAATGTATTACTAACTTACATGCTTATTATATTATCAATACAGTGATTATTCCTATTCTTGAATATTAACTTTAAAATATTGTAATTAATTAATCAACTTGCAATAAAATTTTACTCAGCACATTGACTTTATCAAACTTAAAGCCAAACTTAGTCACACAATACCTTCTGTACCCTTTTACATCTACAAATTATAACATCAAACACATTTAAAACATTCAACTGCAACACTATATTTCTAATCTTCTTAAATAACTTAATAATCCTAATCTATTAGGTATATTTACTTATATTCAAATCTAACAATTACAAAACAATCTTTGGTCTCCAACTAGTATTTTTTCTTATTCCAACCCAATTATTGATGTTTTAACTGTCTAATAACAAACTTTAAAATTATACAGCTTATTAAACATATTGGCTAAACATTCTCAACTAATTTAACTTATAACATTCTTTACACTTTATATAATAAAAATGTTTATCTTGAATCTCTCATCTTCTTTCATTCAAATATCCTGTTTTCAAAAAAACAACTTAGATACTACAAACTTCTCTTTTTTAACCAACTTACCATTTATGATAATTTATATTTATTACATTGATAACATATTTCTTTTAGACTAAACAAACTTTCTAAAAGTGTTATATTTTAATGGTTTACTACTCTTGAAAACATTACTACAAGCTATTTCTATCAATGTGCATTATATAATTATTTTATTCTATCTTAATCAAACTACTTTTCTTATACTACTAGCCAATTTAACTTTAGTACCAAACCCTAATTACTTACTGTTCTTAATAATCAAATCATTGTTAGCAAGGCCAGAAGGCATAATAACCTTATAGACCTTACTCTTATTACTCACTGGCATTGTTTATTTCAGTCTTAGTTTTCTAACTCTTATCCTACCCTTTTTTCTACTACTATATGCTCTGGATGCCATTTTAACTTTAATACAATTACTAACAAATGCATCATTTTTATTCTTACAAATTTGGCTACTAAATTACTTTGTTATATTAATTTTGACAAAACTCTTAACCTATATGCCAACTTCTTTGATATTGCATACTCTGTAGCTATCTGACATCCTTTACATATCCTACCTCCTTCTTCATTAACAATCAATCTAAAACAATTACCTTGCATTTTTTAATTAGGCCAACTTACTAACAGCCTACAGTCTATTGCTAATCTAATTATAACTGAACTACAATCTTATTTTATACTGATGATTCTGTTATTAAGCTTGGTACCTCTTAATGCTTTATGAGTATAGGCTAGGTCCAAGTTGATAACTTTACAACTACTTATTCATTCTAGACACAGATTAAACTTTAGCTATGCTCTTTTAAAGCTAAAATTCTTGATATTTTTTTAGCAATCATTATTGTTTCCAGAAACTGTTCTGTTTATATCTTTACTGACTCACAATCTGTAATCTTCAAATATTACAATATCTGCTTATTAGCTTTTAAACTTTTTTATACTTACACTTCATACTTCTCTATTTGACAAACTTGTATTAACTTCATAAATTTATACAATATTTAGCTTACTTTTCACAATGTTACTTTATACCAAGATAACTTATTTAATAATTTTGCTGACCAACTTGCTTGTATCTATTAAATACTACACTTTTTAACATTCTTAAATAACAACTCTTACAATTCTGCATATACTCTATTTATTAACTAATTTCCTATTGAAATTCCTATTTGATGCTCTATCTATACTATCTATTAGTTTATATTATAACACTTTGAACTAAAAACTTGCATTGGGTCCTGCAGTCCAGTCTGGCCCACAAATTTTTGCAGACTAGATCATGCCTAAAGCAAAATTTTATAATTACAAACCAGGCTGGGCCAAAAAATTTTGTAATTGTAAGCCAGTATAGGTTTAAACTTTGTAAAATTATATAAGAAATTTTTGCAAGCTGAGCAGGCTGAAGAAAAAATTTAATATATGTGAGTCAGACTGAACTGGCAAAAAAATGTTAACTCTAAATACAGGCTGGGCTAAGACAGAAAAAAATTTTAATTCTAAATGTGGACTGAGTTGAATCTCAAAAATAAGCAATTTACAAACTCTTTTGAATATTCCAACATTGTTTTCAACAATAATCTACTATTGCATCCAATATTAACTGAGAAGCCACTTGGCTTTACATTAATAATAATCAAAAAGTTTCTAACATTGTTCATAGTTTTTATTTCTCTATTTTAAAAACCTTTTATATTAAAATTCTCTTAGATGAACTACCTGTTCCTCATACTCTTTACAAATGCAATTCTTCTTACTTTTTTCTTTGTTATTAATGCAATTAAACCAGTTCTTTATTATACTGGACTCTTTGTTCTTTTATTCAAACAATTTAAATTTAATTTCTAATTCTTTTA